CCCGAGACGGGTTAGGAATGAGCGCATGGGTGCATTTGACATACCTCACGCAAAGCAGCTTCAACTGCTTCATGAGTCGACAGCTGAGCTTCGTGATACAGTTTGGACATCTGATCCAACTTTGTTTGACATTCGGATAGTTCTTGTCTGTAGGAACCAAACGAAGGTTCATGGAGAAAATCAGATGAGGTTCTGGTCAATTTAAATACATTTTTGTGTACACAAAAGATAATTGAAAAACTGGTAGATCCTAGGGAATTGAGTGTCTCACATTCTACCAATTATGAGCAGCAAACTAAGTGCATTTATCTCTTACCGAAGTTTGTAAACACTCTCCTTATCAAACGTATCAATACCATCTGACATAAATTTGAGCTGGTCTCTCAAGACATTCTAGCCTGACCATCGAACTCGATAGCATTTTATTTAAATTAAATAATGCACAGAATCAATCACTGATGGAAACAGATAAGTACATATAGAAAGATGAGTGCTCACTTGACTTTCGTCAACCTTTCTTCCGCGATACGTTCAATTGACTCTCGTTCATTAGCCCAATCAATCTCCAAACGGCGACGCATCGAAGTGTAGTGTGCCTCACACACCGCTCGAGCTCTGTCCACGGCTGCATCACGTTCCGCCGTGCTTGCTGCCAACCTTTCACTGGCAGCCTTCTCGTTTTCCAATGCTCGAGCCTCGGCACCTAACGCGGTTTGCAGTCGACTACGGGCATTCTGATTGGAGTTAAGAGAGGGAATCGAACAGGCGATTTTTTCCGACGCAGGAAATCGGCAAATGGATCTACTAACAATGCGACAATTATATTTCCACATTTTTCGATCGGATAGTTCGTTGCAACCATAAAATCGAAGCAGAAGACTACTTACACTAGCAAAATTTTCCGGGAACAACAGTTTCGAAATCCTCATGTAGCATAAAATGGATATATATTTGTTTACAGTAGAAGGTGGGATTTATTACTTCACAATACTGGTAGTATTCATTTTCATATAAGTCTGTTAAACATATAATGATGGTGGCAAAAATTAGGACCAAAAAGTAGCAGAACAAAGCTGTGCAAACAGGTCCCATAGCACAATGTGACAACCCGAATGTTGGGAACGGTACAAAGTTGATGTTCACTAATATGTATGCATGCTACGCAATTCACATTCACATATGAGAAGAAGCATACACTATTTACATTATATATACATTATACATTATATATATATATATATCGCATTGCAAGAATGTATCTACCCGGTCCAGAAGGAGCATTAAGAATAGCCACTAAGAAATTTTTGTACGACCGACTGCTAGCGAGATATAAGTTTCGGCTTTGGCTGGCAGATTAATGGATGAGTCTAGAGACCGAAGAGATGGAGTTACATAAACGGAACACGCCTTTCGACATTGCAGTAAGGCAGATGTTTTGTTACGGTATGGGGAGCCCTTTGGTCCTTTGGGAACAGCCATCTACCTTTCACCAACGGAATCAAGATTGGTTCAAAATGACCGTAGATAATGAATGAGCGATTCAAGCCGCTTCTAGAAGAGACCAATATTTATCTATCGATAAGACAACAACGCTTTCAGGACACCGGTGTTAAAATGTCTAGTTATAGTAATACAGTGGAGACAAATCGAAAGGAAAAACATCATAAACTTCAAGAATCTCAACTCTGGAGGAACGGAGAAATGCTATTGGGAACAAATTTCTCAATAGCACCTACCAGGCGTGTCAACAGTATTGCGTGCAGAGGATGCTGTCATTGTTACTAAAGGTTATTCCATTAAACATGAATGTTCTCTTTTAATAAACGTTTCTTCTGTGTCAGCAACATATTATGGATACATTTTTCGGGCTTTTTGGGTTCGTTCTAGGCGATCAGATAGATTTGTGCGTTTCGGTATAGTGAAGTGCTGGTTTTTCTACCAACAATGTATAACATAAGAGGTGTGGTCACCAGGATGAATCATTGCTAATG